AGGAAGGAAGGAAGGAAGGAAGGAAGGAAGGAAGGAAGGAAGGAGTTTACAAAGTTTAGTTATAGTAGTAACAGGTTTACAAGGTAAAGGATAGCATATACTGTTATTTTTTAAATTATTTACGAAGTACAGTGTAGTAGCTCAGAGTTACAAAATAGAATGTGCAGGTTGAAATGGGGTCAAAAATGTCCCTGTGAGAGAAAGTGGGTGATGTCTTTTTGTGTGTGTGCACGTGTGTGTGTGTGTGTGTGTGTGTGTCTGTCTCTATCATCTATCTATCTATCTATCTATCTATCTATCTATCTATCTATCTATCTATCTAATCTTCACTGTTCATAATATTTTGTAAGCCATTTAGAGCCTTGTTTGGATTAGAGCAGTGTATATATTGTGGTAATTAAGTAGGTAAACAAATATATCTTCCTTTTTTTTAATTCAAGCAATCCATTACCCAAAGACAGAACTTTCTCAGACAGTGAGCATTCTAACTTTGTGTTTGGAGAAAATATAGTAGAAAGAGTTTTGGTAAGTATTAATGAATGCTTCAATACTAATGATTTTATTCATAAATTTAAGTTTGAAGGGTGTATTTATTCATATTTCTTGTTCTGTTGATTTTGAATCTAGATGATCAGGAAACAACAGTTAAAAAGAGATTTTACTCATTTTAGACATATACCTTATAATATTTGCAATACACTTAGTGACAATAAATGATGAATTTAAAACTGACTACTTATGAGTTTGCCTCTTTCCTGGGCTACAAAAACTCATTTTTTTCCTAAAATATTATCTAAACAGCCCTTGATCCAATAATGCAATTTGTGTGAATGCCAGATTTCTTTCAAAGACTTCTGAATAACTGTGGAATTGGGTCGTGTGCTGGTCTTTGATAATCATTTGAGCTGCGTCAGTCAGCAGGTAATAGTCCAACTCAATTCATTAAATATTTCACCTGCTATTTCCTGCATATCTAGTTGCTTTTAAAGTTAACAAATTAAATCTTCAACATGGTTGGAGGTTGAACTGTTCTGTGGAGGTTTTAGTGTCCCTCAGAGAGGGAATCTCACCGGGGCAATCATTAGTGAAGCAGGTTTTTATAACAGAAATAATGTTTATTTCCAAGAAATGGATTTTAAGGATTGAAAGCCTAGCTCCTAGCCAATTATATTCTGCCACAAGGAGAATCAAAGAGCATGTGCTCTACACAGCTGAGCCTTGGAAGAAAGGCAGAATGAGGTGCTTTAAGATTAGCAATTAAAAAAAAAACAAAAGGGGAGGGACACACAATACATCCTTAACTTTTTATCTACACCTATTGCCCCCTTGTGGTCAGTAGGTCCATGAGGTGCTGAAAAGTCAGAGCCATTCAATTCATATCTCCAACAAAGAGGAACCAGATCTGCAGGAAACGAGGCACCATTCATCCATTGGGTAACCCTATAACTGGAAACGAATCACATCACAAATTCAGGATCATTTAATACAGCATGGTTAAAATGCTTTTATTCTCTGTATCCTAAAAATACATAATGGGATATGCACATTTCTATATACCATGCAAGCAGAATGCTGATAAATGTGATATTTAATGGCTTCTTCCAATCCAATGTTCTGTGACAATAGCTCCTGCCTTGACAAATGAGGATTTATGAACCTCAGAATAAGTGTTGGGACCATGTACTTTCCCCTTACCCAATTTGGCACAAAGATCCTGTGCTGCATTAAGTGTGAATTTCATGCTGCTTCTGATCCATGCATTTTAGGCCATAGTATTGAATAAATCAGAAAAATGAACTAGGATCTTGGTATATGAAGTCAAGAATGTCCGTCTAAACCGGGCCAATTATGACAACTTTGGATTTCATCACAGATACTTACAACACAATAAGATTTTGGTAGTTTTAGTACTCAATCTGTATTAAAGCAGTATACGCTACCTAATTTATGCACAAATATTTATTTTAGATATGTTTTATTACAATAGGCAAAATAAATAATAAATTTAGCATCAAAGAGCACTAGAATCTATTTACTATGGATAAAATCTGGATCAAAATTAATCTTTGAAAGAGAACTTCCACTTGACTTATACAATATTGCAAGGTATTTGTAAAAACTTCACATTAACTTGCTCTATTAAAGACAAGGTATTAATTTATATATCTCTTACCGTGAGACCTTCGGGGCTTGACACTTACTAGCTAAGTTCATACAACAGACTAAACCTTAAGCACAGGTTAAACAAACTTCAGTCATGTGTTCACACAACATGCTAATCCAAAACAAATAAATCATATTATAGCCTAATAATGATGACCTGCACATTGTATAATAATACAATGTCTGGATTCTCACACATACTAAACCACAAACTACCTATTGCTATCTTAGCCTAGCCTAGCTTAGTCTATGCCATTGTGTATATTACAATGCCATTCACATTTTTAAATGTCCGCTCTCAATATCTGATATCTTTCCATACCTAATTGTAATTTATTCAAATCAGATCTTTCTCCAATTTTCCTAGAAGCCTGAGAAATCCCCAGAGCTGCTGTCCAAAGATGGGCAGCATATCAGTGAAAAAGAACCCCTCTGTACCCCAGATTTCCATACCATTTCCCCGTGGGCAGGTAGGTGCTGTTTCTTAGCTAACAATGGCATAAAACTGATGTTGCTCTTTCATGACATTGTGTATGTGGTCATTATGTTGAGCACTGAGAATTGAGCCTTCCCCAACCAGAACTAGGTGGCAGTTCCATAATCCTCTGCCAAAATACCCCCCTCATTCCCAGATGGTGATGGGAGTTGTAGGCCCCAGATCTAGAGGATGCCAGAATGAGGATGGCTGATTTAAGACAAAAGCCAGACTCCAGTAGGAACAAGCCTTATATCATATTAGACTACTTTGTCTTTCCAGCCTGATATATTCTACTCTGACTAACAGTGTGTTGTCATTTATTTGCCCCTCAGAGATGTCCACAGGCTATGGTCAAAAAAGTCAAGGGGGTGTCTGCAACTGTGTGATCAAAGTAGGCACAACTCATATAAAAAACAGGTGGAGTGTCAATCACACAGTTGTGCCCACCATCTCGACATTTTGACCACACCCTGTAGATACCCCTATTCCCAATCTTTCCCCAGGATTGAGTTCATACTCTGCTACCATGTCATCCTTAGCCGTGCCCCAACATAAACCAAAATTTTAAGCAATGTCAGATGTGAAATCAGGTTAAACACCTGATGACAGGTGAAAAGGTGAAATGACCATATAATGACTTAGAAACCATTGATTTCTCTAACATGGTGCTTTCTAGCAGTTGAGTATTAAGATAACATTTGAGATGGTAAGAGCAATTAGCAGTGAGAATGTTTACAGAGGTGGTGGAGGACCTTATTTCTCATAGCTTTGATAGCTTCTGAGGATTTCTTCAAATAAATGGGGATAGACTAGACAGTGGATTAGACTACATAGCCTATAATAGTCTCCTCCAACTCTCAAAGGCAACCTTTGTGCAGTCAAATGAAGACAAGCAACCATTTTTAGAGGGTGAAGGCAATATTGGAGAGGTGCAATAATGGGGCAGTGATGCAAAATAGAGCAGGCCCACAAGAGATCAGCTATGCAGACCAAGCTGGACGTTTGTTTATTTATTTATTTATTTATTTTTAGTTAAGTTGGTTTTAAGGCTCATATTAACTTTCTGTTTTGTTTCTTGCCACAAAATGGCAGAAAACCACACTGCCAAGTTTTGAGAGTTATAATGATGGAGCTAGTGAGTTTGGAAGGATTTAGCATGTATATATGGTAAATTCAGAAAGCACAGATGTGCCTAACTCCATTGTTAATAATATCTATAATAATTATAATAGCTAATTTTGAATCAAAGTTAATTTGAAGAGAATGTATTTAACATCCATAACATTCATTAATTTTGTATGACCTTCCTCCCATAGTAATTTCATCATTTTCTCTTCCTCTCTTTCTTATGAAATAGCACCATTTTTTGCTAAGGGTTCAACGCTAGCAGAATCAGCAGCTGCTTACCTATCAAGCAAAACAGCACAAAGATATTTATTGGAGAAAATAGAAATTACAACAGGAGAAGAAGCAGAACACAACGTATTGCAGGTATATCTTTCTCTGAACAATTGCTGATTTACTGATTTAGCACAGTGGCTTTATGGTTCTCAACTTATACCAATATCTCAATGGAAGTTAGGAACACTGCTGGTTTTTCTGGATTGGAGCTAATTACTGAATCAGGAATATCATCTTCTCATTTTGGTGTCAGTAATTTATTTTAGTTCAGCTGGTAACCAGTTAGTGTGCAAGGTATCTGCCATCTGTTCTTTTTCTTGACCGTAGCTTCTTCAAAAGTTATTTAATTGTAATGATCAATATTCATAGTCATCCGAATTCCAGAACAGTTTCTCAGATGTTGCCAGACTAGCCACAGTAAAAATGGAAACACAGCTGGGAGCGCTAAAAAGCATCAAAGCTACTCCATTTCACACAGAGTCTTAAACTGCCTGAATTGCACAAGACAAATGATACCGTCACTTGTTTCTGTCTTGTGTGTATGTGTTGTTTTAGAAAAATCAAGTGGAAATAAAAGCAGTTAGTCTGATGTTGGGCAAGCTGCTGTTCAAGAAACACATTTTCATTATCCATGTAAATCCTTTTGTAATCTGTCTAAATCAGTGTTTCTCAACCTTGGCAACTTTAAGTTATGTGGACTTCAACTTCCAGAATTCCCCAGCCA